CCTCCCCACCTGGCTGGCCGTCTGGCGCCTCTCTCATCACCATCACACCACGTTCCCGGCCATGTCCTCGCCCACACCCAGGACGCTCCACATTCCGCACCCATCTGTGGAATGAACCAGTGAGAGAACCGGGGAGCGCGCCAGAGGAAGCCCACAGGAACAGATCAGGGAGGCGATCAAGTGAGATCTGGCCTGGGAGGTGAGGTCAGGAGTCTGGGAGCCTTGGGGAAAAGCAGTCAGGGAGAAATGTGGAAGGTTAACGAGAGAGAGGGAGATGGGGAGGAAGAGAGAAACCCACTTGCAGGGGTTTTCCGGGGGAGCCTCCCTTTCTGGGGCATCACCCGAGCGTGCAGGCTCGATGAGGCGGTCTCATGGGCACGCTCACCCACACACCAGAGGTCTCACTGTTACCCCCGTACTGTAGCCACAGCCGGATTCTCAAAGTCAAATGGAGCAGCTCTTTTCAAAATCCCAAGAAGGTCAATGAACCCCGAGGAATTCTAAATCCAGAAATAAAAAGAACACCAGAGTTCCAAACTCTCTACGAGTCCTGTCCCAGGGACTAGCGGAACCTCAATCAGGCTCGTATATCCCAGCCTCTTTCCAGATGTTCCTACCTAGGGTTTCCTTGTTTAAAATGAAATGAACTTTTTTAACATGAGACTCCACCGAACCCGAAGTGCTATGAACATGGGCCCCACCGCTCCTGAGCTAGCTGTCAGCGGCAAATCAGTGGCAGCCCAGAGACTGGAAAGGGAAAGGAAAGGCCAGCTCCGACTACCCGTCTCCCGGCGTGGGGCTTCACACGCATCAGTGCACCAGAACCCGCTGCTACCCTAAAAGCAAGGCGCTAGTTGCAGCTCATTAGAGCCACGAGCCCGTGAAGCCTTAAGATGGCAGTAACTTGCCCAAGCTCACAGCCAGGAAAGGGTGGACGCAGGACTGTCCTGACGCCAAAGCCCACGTTCTTCCATTAAAATACACTGCCTCGCAGAGTAGCTGCTTTTAGAAAATGCTTTCTGTAATGAATAAAGTGAATTAGGGACTGTGGGACTCTGAGAATCCAAAACATTTCAACGAAGAAATTATACTGTAGAAGCCTGTCTCGAGAGACACCGGAAGCTTCTCCATCCCCACTGTTTCTCGCTTACAGGGTGCCGTGAGGGAAGAGCACCCCTCCCGGAACACGGAGCCTAGGACCGCACCCTTTCCAAAGTACCAGCAACACAGGCCTCTCCTCCCACGTCCTAAGAACACCCCTCATGCAACCAGTATTCATTTAGTTCCTCTTACCCTCTAGACATACAGCCCCTCACCCCTTCCTACCTGCGTGAGGACACTCCCTGCTTAGGGCTCTGCCCCCTCCCTTCTGACCTTTCCCACAACCAAGTTCAGGCACCCTCACCTCTGGTGGGTGTCTCTGCAGAACCCTAATCTCAAAGTCGCCAGGTCCAACCACCACCCTCTGGGTAGCCGCAGGAGTTACGGCCAAAAAGACAGTGCGGGTCACAGAGGCAATGTGGTCCAAAACCTGTGAGCCCTGCCCGTGGCACTCAAGGTTCCAGTGAATCTGGCTCCCCTACCTTTTCGGGCTCAGTGCACGCACTCTGTTCCACGGGGTGCTCATGCTGGTCCCCTCTCCATGCCCTTTCACCCCTCCGTGCTTCTGCTCCTGCTCTCTCCTCCAACGAGAGGACACTCACTCTCTGCCCGGCCAGCTGAGTCGTTAATCAAGCACCTCCCAAGCCCCCTTAACGTAGAAGGCATCCCAGGGTGACTTTAGTGTTTTCAAAACCGTAAGATGCTGTACCAAGGGAAGGCACCATCTTGAGCCCACACGGAGTCTGGGTTTTATGAGACAACAGGGTTCTAAGAAGGCTCCACCGGAATGGAGTAAAACTCAGCGGTAAGCAGAGCTACAAACAGCAAGACAAGAACGTGTTTGCAGAGAGAGGCAACGAAGTCAGTGAGTGGGAAGAAATCAAAGAGGCAAAAGTGAGAGGAAATGCCTAATGGCCTGTCCCGTGACAGGCAGGGCAAAGAACAGACACAGAGTTCACTGGAAGATGGGACTCTCTCTCTTCCTCAGAGGCAGAGGAAAGAAAAAGACTGATGGACACTGAGAGAGATTTTTAGGTAGAAAAGACTCAAGGTTGGGCGAACTCTTCCAGTAGCCTCTGTTTCCTCCATGTTCTAGAAGGTAGTCATCTGTCAGAGGTAAAACAAAAGGGTGTGTTTTTAAGTAGAAAAGGACCATGAAAGAAGGAAGGATGTTGCTGTGCAATCAAAAAATATAACCTGGCCCAAAAGGAGGTTTGGCCTTTGGTCTTGGCTGACAATCCGACTCGGGGTGGGAGCTGGCCACACCAGAAAGACCCATACTGTGACTCTGGGGGCCTCTGGGTCACACAGTATCCGCGTGGTCAATTAATGAATCTGTTACACTTACAAAATAGAACCCCGTAAAGACTCTGTGAACACCGAGGCGCACATGAGTTTCCCGGGTTGGCAGTACCCCGTGCACACTGTCTCGTATCAATGCTAGGAATGTAACACAGCGGAATCCACAGAGAGAGGAGACAGGAGCTTCACCCCTGCCCCCTCCTCAGACTCTGTGTGAGAAGCCTCTCCCCTTGGCTGATTTTAACCTTTATCCTTTACCTGTAATAAACCACAACCATGAGCATAACGGCTTTCAGTAAGTTCTGAGTCCTTCTAAATGATCGTCCAGCCTGAGAGTGGTTTTGAGAACCCCGAAACTTGCCCCTGATGTCAGAAGTGAGGGTGGTCTTGCATGACTGTCTCCCTCTAAACTCCGCAGTTGCCTCTCACAGTCGGCCTGAGCACTTCTCAGATGCTACAGCCGAAGGGTCACAAAGCGAGGGGTCAATACGGACGCTGGACACTGGCTTTGGGGCCAAAAGGAAATTCAAATTTAATGAGTATTTAGACTTCATGCTCTGCTCTAGTGTTGGACTTTTTTTTTTAAACAAAATAATCTGTATTATTTTTATAATTGAGACATTATTTTTAAGATACATAATTCCAAAAAGCTGCTTTGGGAAAACTGTCTTGTAGAGCTGCCCAACATGGAGTGAAGCGGGACAGCTCCCAAATCAGGAAAACTACTTTCCACTTCATCCCAAACATTAAGTTCACATGTAAACTTATTTCTAGTCCCATTTCTCAAACGACCAAAAAATATATTAGTTACACCACTAAAAAGTCCCAAGCCTACAGGTGACAGTTTCAGCAGGTACGTGGAAGTCAGTCCGTACTTCTGACTGAATTAAGACTAAGTTCTTTTTAGTATTTTCTCTCTCACTGAGAGGGCCGTTAACTGACAACGCTGATACGGTGTGACCCATTCTGTCCATACTAGTGCTTGTCCTTTCTGGAAGGTACCTGCTTTTACGGCGGACTGGTCAGCACAGCTGTAAGCGTCCAGTCTGCACACCGTCATTGGAGGCAGGCTCTGAGCCATTCGTAGTGGAATGCTTCAGCACACACTATACCCCCTTTGCTTTGAGCTGAGACAGTTGCATAAAAAGTTCCCACGCGGTTTAATGAATTCTTCAGGAAACCACCTTTCAGATGACCTTGTTCTCCTCCCTTTCTCAACTCAAAAGTGAAGGTGAACCCACCAGCCTAACCCCCCAAAATATACAACCCAAACAACTTCAGTAACTCAAACCCTTTTATCTTCCAGAATGTTCAAGAAATGCAACTGAACCCTTCTGTCCCATCCCCCCTTTTTTTCAAATATCCCAAGATTCTTTCACATTAACCAAGTTCAATAATGTAACTTTTTTTTTAAGATTTTTTAAAAATTTATTTATTTGATAGAGCACAAGTAGGCAGAGAGGCAGGCAGAGAGAGGGGGGGAAGCAGGTTCCCTGCTGAGCAGAGAGCCCGATGCGGGGCTCGATCCCAGGACCCTGAGATCATGACCTGAGCCGAAGGCAGAGGCTTAACCCACTCAGGTACCCAGGCGCCCCTAAGGTAACTTTTTTAAAGGTGGCTTTGGGTAAGTACAAGTTGTAAAACAAGGTCAAAAAGATTAAACTTGTCATCTGTGAGGTGAAGAGTTTAGGAAGAAATAGTTACTGACACAGATTTCTCGACCATCCCAGACAGGAAGAGTACAACAGACAAATACATGTGCGGAAGGTACGTAAACCAAGCGGACTCACTGCGCAAATGGTCAGCGGAAGAAGCTACAAGGCAGCTGCCCCGACAGCTCTTCCGCTCCCATTAACTACCATCATAAACGGGTTATTTATAAGCTAATAAAGTTTGTCCATCACAGCAAAGGGACTTAGTTCCCGCAGCAATGACTCCCCAGGAGAGATGGACCTTGGCTGCAGCGAGAAGACATGCAGACGTTGCCCTGAAGGCTGACCAGACTGTCCGAGATGCCCTGCCCCGCAACCCCCACCCCACTCCCCCGCCGCCAAAGATCACTGATGGGGGAAGGGAAGATAACCACGAAGAGGGGCAAAGAATACAAGAACAGTTAAACTTTTTAAAAGGAAGGGAGGCCCAGGAGCATCCGAGGAGCCACGGGCGACGTTCAGGGGAGCCCATCGTAATACATGCCTATAAACCACTCTTTACAGCTCACAGAAGGGTTTTACAGTCAGTCTCTCTCTCGGCCCTAACAACAAGCCCGTGGTTAGTTTATCAGAGCGGAAGCCGCGGCTCCGAGAGCTGGGTGTCCTGCCCAAGGTCAGGCAAAAAGCGAGGGCTGCAATTCGCGCCCGGTCCCGAGAGATCAACGAAGGAGTGACGGGGAGACACCTAGAAGGGAAGTCACGCACGGGCACAGAGGTGCCCCTGAGGAGCTCGGAAAGGTCGCAGGTGCGCGGCGGGTGGGGGAGAGGGCGCAGGGGGCCGAGGGAGGGGCGGCCGGGGACCCGGAGCGGCCGGGAGTCCCGGGCGGGAGCCCCGGGCGGGAGCAGCCTGCCCGGCCCCAGCCCGGCCCAGCCCGCCACACTCACCCGAGGCCCGGGCGGAGTCGCCCGGCGCTGCGGCTCCTCCCGGCCTGCGGCGGCGGCGACTGCAGCGGCCGAGGCAGGGACGCATCATGCGGCCGCGCTCATGGCCGGGCCGGAGCGGGCCCCGCGGCTCGGTTCGGGTGGGTCCCGCCGGGCCGGTCGGAGGGAGGCGGCCGCCGAGCACACACGAGGGCAGCGAGCCCTGCCTGGAGAGCCGGGCGGCGCGACCCCCGGAAGTGAACCGCTCGGGGCCGGCGGCGCCGCGCTTGCGCAGTTCCGGGCCCGCCGCTGCCCCCGCGGAGAGGGCGCTTGAGGCTGTCGGTGGGGACTTGGGAGCCGGGATCCTCGCGGACCCGAGAGTCTTGAAGACTAACAGCTCCCTGTCCAGGGCAGCTCTTAGTCGAAAGCACCGCTCGCCAAAATAAAGGGATCCATCCGAACCGAAGTCCGGAAGAGGAAGGATGGGGGCTACGGGCTGCCGCGCAGTCCAAGGCGCGCCGTCCGCCCGTCCAGTTCGCGGAGCCCAGATTTAGGGGTGGCTGGTGCGGCGCGCGGAGCGACAACTTCGAAAATGCGGAAATAGAGGAGCGGGAGTGGAGGCGACTGAGCCAGAAAGCACGTGGGGGAAAGGGGAAGCGCCCGGGCTGGGGGTTCCTGGGGCGCTGAGCCTCCGCTGCCCTCCCTGAGCGTCCCCGCGACCCCTCCAGATGCTGGGTCCCGAGTGCTCTGAAGGTAGACACGCGCTCGTTATCTCCTTGGCTCTCCTGCAGTGTTCGGGGCCGTTTTCGCAGGCCTGGGAAGCGGGTGCTCGGTCAGTGTTTGTCCCGAGACTGCTAAGGGCCGGCGGAATTGCGAGATGGACGGAAGCGGGGGCGACAGCCAGGGCGTCCGTCGGAGCCCGACGTTCTGCAAGGCGCCGGCTCACCGGCTACCGCCCTTGCTTTTCCAGAAGCTCTTCTTCCCGCTGAGCTGTGCGAAGTCATGGGGTGCATTTAAAAGTTTAAACTTCAGTTACTGGATCTTGTTCCTCTTTATTCACAGCGGCGCTGTGTGTGCATTTAGTCATCCCTCCCCAGGCGCCTGTCTCCCGCTCTCTTAGCTTGGGGATTTGCTTCCTCAAGGCCAGAGAGTGAGCGAGGCCTTCAGTCCGTGTCTGTTCCTTCTGCATTGGCCGAAAGAAAGGACGGTTATCTTTGAATAACTCCAAGACCTCAGGTAGCCCTATATTTGAGATAGCCTTCTTAGGAGCACTGTGAAAACAATAGGGGTTTTTTGTTTTTTGTTTTTTTTTTGTTTGTTTGTTTTTTGAAAGAGAGAGCATGATGGGATGGGGGGGGGAGAAGAAAAGAGAGAATCCTGAGACTATGAAATTAAGAGTGGGACGCTTAACTAAGCCACCCAGGGGCCCCAGAATGGGTCTTTTTTCAAAGATAAAAGATTTGGGCGCCTGGGTGGCTCAGTGGGTTAAGCCTCTGCCTTTGGTTCAGGTCATGATCTCAGGGTCCGGGGATCGAGCGGGCTCTCTGCTCAGCAGGGAGCCTGCTTCCCCCTCTCTCTCTGCCTGCCTCTCTGCCTACTTGTGATCTCTCTGTCAAATGAGTAAAATCTTTTAAAAAAATAAATAAAAGAAAAAACGTTATCTGAGACAAACATAAACACATGTCAAGGTTTTAATGTAACTCACCCATTAATGAAGTATGTAAGATGATACGTATGGTTGGTTCAGAGATAAATCCAAAAGGCAGACGTATATCTAGGCAGTCAAGAATGCTAAAATGAATTTGCTTAATAGATGCAGAGCTGGCTTCTACAGTGTGTGTGTGTGGTGGGGGGGGATCAACTGAACTTTCACCAGAAAGAACTGACTTTATGTCTGATATCTGTGGACAAGCACTGCAACCTATAAAGTTATAAATAGCTTAAAGAAAAGAGAAGACCCCAGGGAACAGATAACCCCAAAGGGTGTTCCAGACCTCTGGTTGTTCACTGAAGACACCCAATAATCATTTTGACCCATTTCAAAGTCTGTCCCAAAAAATGAAGAGTGGAGGGATCCTTACCCCCATGATTCTTCTTAGAGTCCCCATACTTGTTTGTGTTGCCTGTGTCCCTTAATCCTGCTGTAGCTTGTCCACTGTAACTTTGAAAGTGCTCCCCTTACTATAGGAAATGGCACAGTAAAATCATCCATTAAAATATTTAAGACAGACAGCAAAGGTTGACACAAACAATGCTACTGTTATCAAGAAATTTCATCTCTTTAACAGAATTGTATGTTTTTTCAGAAGACCTTCTGCAAGTCATTTCCCCTTCCCAAGCCTCAGCTTTTGTTTTTGTTACTTTTTTTTTTAATCTCCAAAATATGAGATTAGATTTTATTTCTAACGCTTGTTCCTGTTTTAAGACTGTGAGTTTTTTTGGTTTTGGTTTTTGGTTTTTTACCTCTCCCTGATTTCACTGAGGTCCTGGGAGCAGAAACCCTACTATTTCCCATCCCCTTTGCAGGGATGGGAAACATCCCATGTCCAGGGTTGGTTCTGTTTATCCTTCAGGAGCTGGTTTCCCGCTCACCACTCATCCCTGGAAGCAGCCCTTTCAAAGCAGACACTTGACCCAAACATGTGAATAGACGCTCAGGTTTCATTCAGAGTAAAAGGGAAGAATGCAAATTTGAAGAAAAAGGAGATACCATTTTTCACTGAGTAGACTGGCAACGCTGGAAGTTTGGTAACACTGTGTTGGTGCACAGACTCCGCTGATGCAGTTGTAAACGCGTTCATCTCTCCGCAGAGCGAGTTAGCAGTATGGACCACAGAATGTGTAAGCGTATGTGCCTTTTGACCCAGCAGCCTTAGGAGTTTATCCTCCAGATAGGCTTACCCACATGCATGAAGCTGTTTGCACTTGCGTGCATACGGTAGCGTGCTGTAGAAGCAAAACACAGGCAACACGCTGGAGGCCTGTGAATATATTCGTTGGACAGGTTGTACATACAAATGGGAATGCTGCGATGTACAATTGTAGAAAAAAAAATGAGGCCAATTTTCATGAATTCAGATGTCTGGTCTTCAAGGCATATCAGGTCTGTTGTGTCCAATTGTGTGCGTTCTTGTTAAGAAAGCAGAATGGGGAGATGTATATGTTTCTTTTATTTTATTTTGAGATGTATATGTTTCTATGTACATAGAATATCCCTGGACAGAGATACAAGAAATGGGTCTGTAATTCATTAATTTTTTAACCACGTATTTATTTTTAAATACATAAAATATGACGAAACGAGAGTGCCACAATGGGCAAGACACTCAAACAGGCCCTTCACAGAAGAGACTCTCCAGAACATGAAAAAGCGTTCATTTTCATTAGTCACCAGGGAAACGCAAACTTAAGCCACAAAGAAATATTTACACACCCTCCAGAACAGCTAAAATGACAAGGCACCGAGCACTAGCAAGCATTGGGAGTAACTAGAACGTCCGTACACCGCTGGAGGCAATGTCATTATTAAACCACGGGGGACGGCTGTTAGGACGATCTGCTGAAACTGAGCATACGTGAACCTGTGTTCACCAAAAGACACGCACCGGAATGTTCCCCAAGCGCTGTCCACAGTCGCTCCAAACTGGAAACATCCTAAACATCTGGGACCGACAGGAGAAATAGATCGTGTACATTCATACAACCAACTGTCCCACAACAGCCGAAATCAGCTTCTCAAATACATGCTGGGTTAAAAGAAGCAAGATACACTATGTGATTCCATTACTAAAAGCTTCAAAATGGGGCAAAACTGATGTTTGGCATAGGAAGAGAAAGCAGGGCAGTGGTGACCAGGGGGTAATAATATTCCGCGTCTTAATCTGGATGCTCATTGTATCGGTGCCCACTCGGGGTCAACTCATTCGCCTCTGGACACTTGGGATTTGTGTGCTCGATTTCAAGCACACAGCGGGAGAGAAGGAGAGAGAGGGATGCTTCTAATGGTTGTACAGTGGACAATCAGAGGTTTCTTCCAGAAGGGTGTTGGGGTTGTTCCTCATTTTTTACCACGGCTTTGTGGTGTTGAACGCAATGGCCAGAATAGGGAAGCGAGAAGGCTGACTCTCCCCAGCCCATGGTGTTGGACAAAGCCCAGGGAGTCTGAAGAACCCAGAGTGGTACGATGTGTCCTAATTCCTCTGCACAGGGCCATCTTACCTCCAGCTGTGGATAGAGCCTGCTGGGACCCCCGTGCCTGTACTTGGTGGGGCAGGCATATGGCTAGTGGACGTTGCGTGGAGCACTTACTGCGGGCCGTGTTGCTCGTGTCCACTGGTGCTTCCCCAGCTCCTGTCAACCAAAAAACCTGCACTGAATGAGGGAGTGAACACACTATGGGTGACCCCTTTCAGAGGTGAAGAGACAGGCTCAATGCGGTTAAGCAGTGTGCTCAAGGTCACACAGCTAGGAGGGGGAGAGCCAGCATTCGGACACAGATCTGTCCTCTTTGCTGTTGTCACACCCATAAACTCACCTCATCCTCACCGCCCTGGGAAGCTGGTGTGATCCCTTGCAGGGCTAAGGAAACTGAGGCTCAGAGTGAAGTGACTGCGCCACAGAAGCAGAAAGCCCAGCTAGCTTGCAGACCTCTTTCTGTCGGCCTGCGAAGAGCCTACTCCTTATACTGTGCCAGACTCCTCCTCCAAGGAGCCAGAGGCCAGGCTGTATACCGATGCGGCTCTACACCAGGCCCTGATGGCTTGCTTGCTCCTGCTGCCCAAGGCCCCATCACCAAGTCTCCTGGGAGCAAGGCCCTGCCCACGTGTGCTCATCATCTTCTTGTCCTCTCCTCCCCAGACCCGTTTCTTAAACTCATGTTGGTTCATTCAACAAGCATCTAGTGATCTGCTCTGTGCTTGGGCCTTGCTAGGTGCTGCAGACACATGAGTAAGCCAAACCAGCCGGTCCCTGCCTCTTACAGAGCACAGAGACTAAGTGAAGCAGTAAATAAGTGCCCGATTACAAACAGGGGTGTTCCTATAAAGGAAAAGGACATCGCGTGGTAGAAGGGTATACCTGGGCATCTGGCCTGGCCTGGGGTTACACAGCTTCCTTTTGTGTGATAGGTGAAGGACACATGGGTATTTCATAAGCAAAGGCATGCAGGGGACGGAGGTGGAGGGTTCCAGGCAAAAGAGTAGGTAGGAAGGCCTTGCAAAAGAAAGCAGCGTGGATTGCGGGAAGTTCTGAAGGGGCCAGTGTGTGGACGGCGAGGAGGGAGTGAGGAAACTGAGCTGGAGAGCTTGGAAGGGCCAGACCGTGCATGGCCC